GTGTCTATTTCTCGAGAAGTGAAATAAACCACTTGCGGGGAATACAAATTGAAATTTAATACAAAACGGGATCAAACGGAAACTTCCCACTTCCCACCACCTGCATCCATGCGATCTCCAATTTTCCTTTTCAGAAAAATAAACAGAAACTCAACAAATCCGCCATTAAAACTCAAACAAGTAATTTAATACGTACTTCAATTCACGAAAGCGCACTTCTTCCTGATTTCACTAGCTTTACCAGTCAACACTCCAATTTTCCCCATCTTCACCATTGATATTGCAAAGTCTCCCGCAAAGCTGACTCCATCATTCTCCGCCTGGAGCTTAACATAGGCTTGGGTCTGAACATCGTTTAGAAGTGCTGCATCAGACTGAAACAATCCTCGCCTCTGAGTCACGACTTTGTAGTAGTTGACGTCGAAGGTTCTGAAGCTACCAGGGTCCATCTCCACAAGGGTAGTACGGTCCCCTGGTTTGCACTTCTTCTTCAACCAAACGACGTAGTTTGGATCCATAGATGGGTCGGCCTCGCCTTTTCCGGTGAAGTTGTAGAGACGGTTGCCGAAGCTTCTGCAGTGAGAGATTCCGATGGTGTGGCTTCCGGACAAGACGACCAGGTCTTTGACGCTCAGACCCTTGACGCTGAACATTTGTTTGAGCACTGTTACGTTAGAAGAGGGAGACGGCACGTTGGGTCTCACCTCTGATTTAAGTGATACTCTTCCATCTCTTCTGCCGGTTGGAAGGTCCCAAAATGGTCCACCAATCTGAGACAGACACATTAATTATAAAATTGTAGAAGATGAATGCATTAGTTTACGTGTGTCGAAAATATAGACTATGTATATATATGTACCAGAGAAACTGCGTCTCTGGCAACTAAAGCAATAATATCAGCGCAAGAAACCGTGCAAGGACAGGCCTCTTCTAGTGCAGATTTTACAGCATCAATAACTTGAAACCCTCTTAAGCTGCGGTTTGGACTGGCATCTCTCTCCGCATTCTCTTTTGAAGAAGTTAAAAGAACAGACCCATCACATCCCTGCAAATTGAACCCATCTCATTAGATAGTAGCAATAACTTTAAATGATATACGTATATATATATATATATATATATATACACATAATATTGTTGTAAGAGCATACTCGAACGAAGCAGTCATGAAAATGCATCCTTAGGAGGGCAGCTGCAAGAGTTGGGGCCTTGGAAATGAATTTATAAGTGGTATTACGAACGATAGCCTCGGCGTTAGGGCAGGTGTTCTTGTAGAATCGAAGTTTCAGGCGGTGCGCATGTGCGAGGTGCAGGGCTAGAACAAGAAGGAGTTGAAGTAAGAGGAGCGAAAGACGCTTTCGGGTGGCCATTTCTCACAACCAGCTACCTATATGCACTGAAGTAAATGTTGTTACATATATATATATATATGCTGATTTTATGGTGGAACCAAATTTGGTTCGGCCTTTGGATTTAATTTTTTGGAATTGGATTTGGAAAAATAATTTAAAGCCCAAAAGAGTTGGGCTGAATGAGACCTGAACTACAAAATCTTTAATTAGATTTCAGCCCGGTCCAAACCGAATCCGCCGAGACCCATAAATACAAATGGGCCCATTAAAAACTGGTGTTACCCACAAAGAACAACTTTTTAGTATATGATTATTTATTGTTATCATATCTATATATATATATATATATATATATGTATATAAATCATATTCAATGTAAGAATTATTAAATTTTCAAAAAATAGCATCAATTACTAACATGTATAAAGTATTATATGAATATATTGATTTAACTGTAATTTAAATATTTTCTGGTACTTCCAAAAGAACATTTATACTACCATACTTGTGGTAATATGTGTCTGTTGGATATTATTAGTGTATATAGAAATAGTGGTAGTAACGTTAAGTTGAGCTATTATATATATATATATATATATGTTTGTATATAATATGATCATCAACTACTAAGATTGGCTGGACTAGGGAAAATTAAAATAGCTTGAACTTGTCCTGCTATCTGACAAGCTGCACATCGTGCATATATAATTCTTAATTTCCTACAATTTTAGAGTCCCCCACTACAAACAAGTTGCTTCAATAACGTGCAAACATATATGTCTCACCCTTTAGGTTCTTGAGAAAGACATTCCCAGAATATATATGCGTGTATATATATATATATTATATTATAGATGTACGTACATATATCTTACAGATGGAGAGACATACGAATTGTTAAGATAAAACAGTGGTTAATCATCTTAAGGTTTAAAATTAACAATTATGTAATTAAGAATTAGCAAGTCAGATATGTATATATTAACCTTATAAAAACAATTAATAAGAAAATTCATAGTATGAGCAATTGCCAGGTTGTGTGTGAGATGTTGAAAAACCCAAATCTCAACTATAAAAGCAAGTGAAGACACACCATCTGATCATGAACTCAAGCTCCTGACAATTGACAAACATGGCTATCAAAAACCTTGTTTCTGCCTTCATCTTTCTTCTGGTTTTGGTTTTGCCCGCACACCTCGCAAATGCCCATTACTTGCATCGAGATTTCTACCGTGAGAAATGTCCTCAAGCTGAGCACATTGTTTACTACATTACTTATAAATTCATCTCCAAAAACCCTTCTCTTGCAGCTGCTTTGCTCAGGATGCATTTTCATGATTGTTTTGTTCGTGTAAGTTCACGATTTTCTTTCTTCGTTTTAAAGAGCATTATACTCATTGTAAGCGTAATGTTTTTTTTTATTGTCCCAATTCAAATATGTAATTAGAAATGCATATTAATTATGAAAATAATAATTATTTATCTTAGTAAATAATTTAAAAAAATATATATTTTACTGAGGAATTAAGATTATAAATATGTGCATTTTAAATTTTTATGAAGGATTCATATCTTAAATTTAATTATAATCATAAATGAAACTTAATTATGATACAAATATTATAGTGTCTATATATACTCATATATTCATAAATTATTATCATAAAAAATTAATTTTTTCTATTAGTTTCTGATTCTTTTTTCTCCTACTTTTAATAAATTATTACCTACAGTTAGATTATCTCTTAACATTTTGTAAGATTAATTACTGATATAGGTTGGGGAATATTTGCAGGGATGTGACGGGTCTGTACTTCTAACTTCTTCAAAAAAGAATGCAGAAAGAGATGCGATTCCGAACCTCAGTTTGCGGGGATTCGAAGTAATTGATACTGTAAAATCTGCATTAGAAAAGGCTTGTCCAAGAGTTGTTTCTTGTGCTGATATTCTTGCTTTAGTTGCTAGAGATGCTGTTACCATAGTAAGTATATACTCTATACTTATGAACAATATACATATATATATATATATAATAGCATTATTACAAATATTTCATAACAGTTTCTATAAGAAATATATTATATATATATATATATGTATGTATAAAATAAGAACGTTCATGCGAATCTCAGATCAATGGCCCGCACTGGGAAGTCCCAACCGGACGACGAGACGGTAAAGTGTCAATTAAATCGGAGGCGCTAACAAACTTGCCGCCACCTTTCGCCAACATAACAGTGCTCAAGCAAATGTTTGCCGTCAAGGGTTTGAACGTCAAAGACCTGGCTGTCTTGTCCGGAGGCCACACCATCGGAATCTCTCACTGCGGAAGCTTCAGCAACCGCCTCTATAACTTCACCGGCAAAGGCGATACCGACCCAACTCTGGATCCAAACTACGTCGTTCAGTTGAAGAAAAAGTGTAAGCCTGGAGACCAAAATACCCTTGTGGAGATGGACCCTGGTAGTGTCAAAACCTTCGACGTCAACTACTATAAAGTCGTGGCTCAGAGACGAGGATTGTTTCAGTCTGATGCAGCACTTTTAAACGATGTTGCGACCCAAGCTTACGTTAGGCTCCAGGCGCTTACTCGTGGACTCACTTTCGCCGGAGACTTTGCTGTGTCTATGGAGAAAATGGGAAAGATTGGAGTGTTGACTGGTAAGGCTGGTGAAATCAGGAAGAAATGTGGTTTTGTGAATTGAGATTGACTTCATTAATTACTGGTTTTTTAAGAAAAATTTGGATTTAAGTTACTGTGTGTATTGAGCTTGAAATTTGGAGATGGCATGGTATTCCATCTTGCTTTGTATTTGATTCAATTTGTTTTTCCCAATTGATAAAAAGAGGAAGAACACTGTTGTTTATCTGTTAATTTTACTCAATTACTATGGAAGTAGTCAACATAGAAAATGAGATAAATAAATTTTGATTGTATAACTTTCCTAACTGAAATAAATAAAAGTACATCTTATATATACTTATTTTTTAATTAAGTTGAAATTTTAATTTATTATAATTATCTCACGATAATACACTAACTAAATGGTGAACATTAATAAAATTCGAACTCTGTATTACTATATATATATATATCCGATAAACTTAAAAAAGAGATGTAACAAATAATGGAAAAAATATAAACTAGGAATGGTGTATTATTGAAAACAAAATGTTATAGATTATATATGTTTTATGTAAATGCATGCTCCCTAAGTAC